ATTTAATGTTTAGAATTTATAAAATACAGAGAGATTTGAAGTTTTAAATAAGTGAATGATAAATCACAACCGTAAGTTTTTAACGAGTTTTGAGAAAAGTCTACATAAAAACAATAAATCTCATAAGGATATTAAATTTCCTTAGTTTTATAAAGTACATAAAACGAGGCCTTTTAATTTTAGAAAAAGTTTGTGTAGGACAAAATTTAATCTTGTATATTTCAGACAAATTGTAAAATTTAACAATGTTTTTTTTAAAAACGGGTATTAATGGTTTTCGAAATTTTTCTACGTCATTAAAAATTAACGTATTTTTATTGTTAAACATTCATATAGAATTTGTAGAGATCCGTAAAATATTTCTATAGTGAATAATTAGAAAATCCAACAGATTGGAATGAATAACTTAGACTATACATGTGTAGCTCTTTGAAAGCTGTAAATATAATCATAATTTGACCAAACCAAATAACTACTGTAGAATTATATATTCCATTTTTCCATTAAGTTTTATATAAAAAAATATTTATTAAAGATGTTGTGTTGTGTAAGATATGACAGCTTTATATATATATCCATTGCTGTTTCAGCTACGCTAAAGAACGTATGTAGATTTCTATTTTATACACTACACTTTATAACTATTATGGAAGACTTAAATATGGCATTTTATACAATCAAAATCGAAAATATAAATGTTCATTTTTGTTAATTATCTCCATATGTTATCATTACATAGTTAAAATAGTCATTTCCGAGAACATATCTCAATTTATGGTTTATAACATAAGGGAAATCGATTGGCTCTCTTAATAATGGTTTTCTGAAAATGAATTACAGTATATTATAGAAGCAGAGACTTTTGTATGAAGTAATTAATAATATGATCGTACGACAACAAATATTAATTAATTTTCTTACGCTATTGAAATTAAACAATTAAAAGTTTAATATAGCTGTAAGTAAAGTAAAGAACATTGTAAAGCAACAATTTGACACCATACTTATTATTTTATTATATACATTGAGTTTCTGGCTATTTTAAGATTAATATTTGATATTTTAAATGTAAACAGAAATTAAATACGTTATAAATTTAAAATTGTGTATTAGAATAATTAAAAAGTTTATTTTTTGTTGTTGTTGTATACTGGCACAATGAAATGACCACTTAACCAATACTTGGCAAGTTTTCCATCTTTATTTAGTTAGTTTATTTTTTTCACTTATTAAATATTATTGTAATCAAATACGAGAAAAGAGATAAATTATTACTTTTGCATCAAAAAGCAAATTATAATTAATGATTTCAACAATGTTAATTAACTTTTATTAATTAATAATTTCCATTTTACATTAATAAAAGATTTATTTAAAAAGTGAACATTAAATTAAATTTATTGTAATATTAATTTAAAAGATAAAAATTTAAATAAATTGGCATTTTACGTCTTATTTTCCAATTTATATTAAATTTATTTTAAGGCTTTGATAATAGTTAAGTTGTTTTAAGTTTATTATTTATTTTCTTTCGAAGAAATTTACAAGTAAGAGTAACAAAAAAAAATATTTCTTTGGGAAAAAAATGATATTTTTCACTTTGAAGCATGTTTTGTTTAAGACACGTTGTTTTCTGCGTTCCTGTGTGATAAATAATTAATTATTCAAAATTAATTCTCCACAAAACTTCTGTCTTACAGGAGATTTTCCAAACTTTTTAATTAAATTATAAGAAACCATCAATTAATTCAATATTTATTACAGGAAAAGAAGCTTACACAACTGATACATTAAAATAACAATTTTAGACAAAGATAAATTTTAAGAACAAAAAATTTAATTCAATTTAAAATGTTGATCATATTGATAATAACTTTTTATAGCAAAAACTACATCTTAATTTATTAAATTTGATTTTATAAATCGCTAGAATAAAATTTATAGAATCAGTTATAATTGCTAATAGACGTAATAATTTTGTTTTTTATCCTTATTAAGCATGAATTTATTTTGTTAAACAAAAGTTATCAGTCGCGTATGACGCCTTTACTTCATCAATAATTTTTTCATGCCTTTTATGGGATTTCTTGTACAGCATCAATACACCGAACATGATGTTTTTCGTGCATTTTATCTAAACGGCCATTTCCAAAAAAAATCATCTGTCTATGCATTATAAATGTTTATTAGTTAATAATTATTTTATTTTTAATGCTGAAAGATATCACCGTACAGCTGCATATAGTTCCATCTAGAGGATTGGTGTAGGCCTATAGAATTACAGAACATAATACCAAATCTGGAATAGTAACAAAAAGCAAAAGTTACCGAATAATATTGTACAACGTGTTACATGGAACACGAGCCTGCACACTGTGTCCTTGTTTTCGTCGTTGTCTTCGGAATATCGCTGCATTGGCATTAACAACAGTCATTTCTTGGAGTCCGATGACCCATATGCTCTAAGAAATTCGGTCATCGTTTGCGATAGACTTTGGATTTCTGTCTCTTCATTTCTTTATAACATGGGAAGTATGTCGAGAAGATCACACATTTTTCAATAAATGCATCAAATGAGAATTTGTTCCCTGTTGCAAGACAATATAGCATTTTTTAATTTAGAGTCATTCTCATAAATATATATGCCGATCTTGAAACTCGAGTAGTTTTGTCTGCAACAGTCTGTCGGTTCAATGTTTCGATCTGTTGCATCATCAGCTGAATCAGTGATGGTTTTACAATGGAGCAAAGTGGTTTGGTTAAACCAGGGCTCGAAGCCAACAGGGGTCCGTACGTGTCAACCTAAATGTTTCGGTGAAAGATCAGGTGATCCTTTTTTCAGTCAAGGAACAAAGGCGTTTTTCGGGACGCCAGTCCCGTTTTTTTCGGCGAAAGTGGAGTTGGGGGTAAAACCTTCATTAGAATTTCGAACCACGGCCCAAACTGCATTGGTTTCGCATCTGAATTAAACCCATGTTTAGGTTGTAGTGTTCAATGACGATTGCTTTGTGTATAATGTCTTCTTTTCATGTGTCGAAGTTTTTCAACAACTCCAGGAGTATTTGAAGTGCTAAACGATTCTCTTGAGAAAGATTCTCATTTAGACTCCTGGTTAATTCTCTCATTTATAGAGTATTCTGAATTGGAAACATCACTTGGATCAGTCTCATCTATAATCTGCTTATCATTGGAACTAAATTCTTGAAGAGAATGAAAAAACATGTAAAATGTGAAATACTAAAAAGAAAAGTATTGATGATCAGTAACAATTAAACAATGACCACCGACCATCGGACGTATTTTAGTTTCCACGGCAATTAAACAAAATCAGTTTTATCTACATACCATCATTCAAAAATGACAATTATCACTATTACCAGACTAATGTTTTCACTTAACACAGCAAGCAAGTGATCACACCATACTTGGGATGCAGTACCTGATATTGAAGGGGTTGAATTAAAATATTTTTTAATAAATAAAAAATACTATTCATTTATAATCTTGTAGCTTTATTTAAATATGACGTCATTTTAATTACATTTTAATACATAAAATATTAGATAACATTTCTTATTGACATCCACAATATACGAAATGGATTATTACAACATACAATATAATTTTGTTCCAAGAATAATGCTTTAGTTCGAAAATATATTTTACAAAATATATCTGAAGTCTTTTCTCAAAAATAATGAATAAACACACATTTTTTTTTTGTATAACATTACCATTTTATTTAAAGTATAGAGTTTAAAATAGTTTATAGATATAATTGTACAGTACGTATGTATAGAATTGATTTATTGTGCTTATTTACGTTTTGAATTTTTATATAACGACAAACAACCAATCGATATATAAAAAAATAAATGAAGATGAAAAATAATATTTTACACTCATGATATAAATAACTTTGAAAACAATTTTAGATTTTTTAAAATTGTGTGATTACATCACATCAAAATGATGTAAATTATGAGTTGTATAACACGTGATATTTTCAACTGTTCATTTTATAAATTTCAACTTTATAAAACTTATGAATTTATGTATTTTATGAATATTTTCAATGTCTGAAATAATATTTTTATTTTTATCTAAAGTCGAATGTTCTTTAGTTTAACAAACCGCGTGTATTACTAAAAACAATGTTGCGTGATTGAAATTACGTATAATTAATTGTAAGTAAAAGTTTGTTGAAATTTGTTTCGTGGCTAATTTATTTCTGTCCTAGTAGCTATCGTTTTAAATGATTATTTTTTATAGTTATAATATATGGAAAACTACGGCTTTAGGTTATAGATCGATCGTACATAAATCAAATTATAATTAATTTTATCTTTTAAAAATTTCTAATAGGAAAAAAAATAACTAGTTTAAATATTTTCTTAGAATTACAAAATAAAAATAATGAATTATTGGTTATTAAATAATTTAAGTTCTATTGAATGAGTAATCAATAAATTATTATTATTAAATCTATTATAATATCGTATTATTCATCAATTCAATTGAGAGAGAAAGAGATTATTCCTAAAATTATTTTTAGACATACTTGTTTAAAACTGATGAGTAAATCTATACAGAAATAGTTAGGGAAAAATTATAATTAAATTCTTTAATCTGAAAATGTTTGTTTTAATATGTCTAAAAAAGAAGTTTTTATGGAATTTTATTAAATATAAAATCGATTTTTATTATCGAAATTAAATACTTTGTTATTAAAACTATCAATTCAATAGATATTCACATTATTGAGTCTATAATTTAAAATTAAAATATCACGTGTAATACAACTCTTCTTTTACATTACCGAACTTCTCAGTAAATTTTATTTCACAATAAAATAATTTTAAAAATATATAAGTTTGATTTTGATAAAAATTAATTTGAGTAAGCATATTTAACTGTAATTATAAAATTTATTAAACATATATTTAATTAACGGACAAAATGTTTAAATAGTACAAGTAAAATTAGTTTAGATCGCGCTTTTTAAGTAAAAATTCCGATATTATAATGTTTATTTTTAAAATTAAATATTTATTGTGTAAAAGATGTAGTTCTGTTTATAGAGAAAGTAAAAAATCCAATCGAAGACTTACCATCACGAAACTTGACCCTTAGATTAACAAGTCTCTGGTCTCTGTTAATAAGTCTATTCGGAGTCTTCGTCGATAATTTACAAAAATGTCTCAAAAAAACCCTACGAAACTTTTTCCCAAAAATACAATACACGATAAAGTTAACGGAAGAATTAAGAGTCACCATAAAATCAGATATTTTTACCAGAAGCGGCAGGAAGATAGTTTGATATTCTAAGATAGTGGCAATCAGAGATAATAAGTGACAGATAAAAAAGATGATGACTATACAAAATAACATAAGAGCCAGATGTATTTCTTTACGTAAATTTCGATTCATACGTTGGCGATTTCTGTTAGCTTTCTTTACCACCATCCAGATATTGGTGTTAAGCACAATTAGCATTCCAAACGGTAAAAGATAAGTGAATAAGATATTCAACCCGACGTAATAAACTTTGTAGTAGGTTTCGTTGGTGCGAAACTGAGTTGGGCAGGCCAAACAAGTGTCGTTACTAGTGTCGTTGAAAGACTTAACTTCCACCTCGAAAAATCTTGGCACATTATAACCTATACTGAATAGCAGAATAATAAAATTGCAAAATCTTGCTCGGCTGCAAGTACAAATTGATCGAGCTTTAAGAGGATGACACACGGCTACGTATCGTTCGACTGTCACAATAACCGTGGTCCAAATTGAACCTGTCTTTGCAATGTGCGCTAGTGGATACAAAACGGGTACCATCTTCAAGTATATATAACCGTAATGATGTTGAAAACTTTTTATTTTCAGCCCCAATCCGGGAAATCCAAAAATGAAAAGAGAAGTCGCAATTAAGAAAGTATCAAAAACTGCTAATCCTTGAAGTCCACAATTAATTGAAGAACGCAATTCCGGTCGAGATAAAACAAATAACGACATGATATTTCCTATACACCCTAAAATAACTACGACTATAATCGCTACTCCCAGTGCGAACTCCATCGACTCATCTTCCATTGTGGCGAATGAACTCCGGCAGTTATCCACACCTTTATAAGTTAACTTTATTGATTAATGACGTCACAGGTGGCGTGTCAATCGTCGTGATTGACAAATCTCGACGTTAATCTTGGAATGTTTATTATTATTGCATGTCCACGTGAATAAAAATACAAAGAATATTATTTATCGAGACATTAAGCTTGATTGGTTGCTTATAAAATACTATCTTACGTTAATCGTAACTAAATAAAACAATTTACTAGGTTAACTGTCAAATTAATCAAAAGTTATTTAGCATTAAATTTTAAATTATTTATATAATATATATAATAACATATATTTAAAAATAGAAATAATATATTATAAATATTAAAATACGTCACTTTATGTAATGTAGTGTTTAAAAGAATAGTTTTAATTTAATATGGAATTATATAAAGTGAATTCAATTTGCCGAATTTAATTAACTTATAATTATTCTAACGATTTTCATTTTTATTTTCAATTCTTTAATAAATTATAAATTTGATAATTAGCTAAATAGATTTTCTTAAATATTTTGAAATTAATCTTTCGTACTTTATAAATTCTATTAAATTTGTATATCGAATTTAGGAAGTACCAATTATAAGACATTAACGAAACCTTTTATAAAGGATGGGACATCGATTATTTAACTACTACAAAGTTTGAATTCGATGTCAAGTAAACTACAGCGTATAATTTATAAACTAGACAGATCGAACAGAACTTCTGAAATTTTGTTAATTTTCAAGTTTGAACTAACTATTGGAAATTGTAGACGTTTTACCATTTAAGCGTGTAATCTGTATTGTATGATAATCTAAGTTCTTCTGAAAGCAAAATTTATTTTAAAAAGTAATAATAAATTAAATTTAAATATTTCAACTGAATAAAATTTAATGATGAGATTTGTGAAGTGTCTGAATAAATACAATAAATAATTTATGTTTGAATTATTAAATATTTCAACTTTCATTCTTATACACAAAGCCTACAGTAACACAAATCTTATCCAAACGTAATTTATTTCTCAATCTTGAACTTTTTTCCAACTACCCAGCTACAAAATACGTTCCGAAAATGTCGTTTTACTCATAAAATCTATTGGGATTTATAAACGCCTAATTAAAATGAATTTAACTCGTTAAAAACATAGATAAAGCTAATTAAGTATGATTAACAATGCAATTGCGAGATTGGTTACACTAATACATTTATTAGGAGCTAAATATTATGTTTATAATATATAGTTGTATTATATATCTTAACAGTAAGATGTATAATGGCAATAGTATATATAAATCAAATATGTTTGAAGTGTTAAACTTTCCGATTATATAATATTTCTCCCTTGGAAAAATATTTTGAAAGAATAATCTCTTGATTCGCAAATATTATTGACTTAAGGAGAACCATTCGATTATTCCTGTTACATTTATAATCTATTTATTTATTTATTTATTTAGAGTTACAGATTTTCGAATAATATTAAATCAACAGTTTAATAAATTCAGTTGAGAAATTTTTACTTTACGATTTAATTTTCTTTTATTTTTCAAATTAAAATGCAAACTCTAAAATTGGTTTTGTTACTTCGGATTAAAATTTAAATTATAAATTAATTTTATTAATATATGTTAATTTATACAATGTTTAAAATATCTTAATACAAATTTAGGAAATTGTAATAAATACTTACTCGTAATTAATGAAAAAACAATTTTAAAATTTGTACAGAATCATATAGAAATGTTAATAAAAAAATATATTATTATTTTTATTTCTATACTTACCATNTTCACATTATTGAGTCTATAATTTAAAATTAAAATATCACGTGTAATACAACTCTTCTTTTACATTACCGAACTTCTCAGTAAATTTTATTTCACAATAAAATAATTTTAAAAATATATAAGTTTGATTTTGATAAAAATTAATTTGAGTAAGCATATTTAACTGTAATTATAAAATTTATTAAACATATATTTAATTAACGGACAAAATGTTTAAATAGTACAAGTAAAATTAGTTTAGATCGCGCTTTTTAAGTAAAAATTCCGATATTATAATGTTTATTTTTAAAATTAAATATTTATTGTGTAAAAGATGTAGTTCTGTTTATAGAGAAAGTAAAAAATCCAATCGAAGACTTACCATCACGAAACTTGACCCTTAGATTAACAAGTCTCTGGTCTCTGTTAATAAGTCTATTCGGAGTCTTCGTCGATAATTTACAAAAATGTCTCAAAAAAACCCTACGAAACTTTTTCCCAAAAATACAATACACGATAAAGTTAACGGAAGAATTAAGAGTCACCATAAAATCAGATATTTTTACCAGAAGCGGCAGGAAGATAGTTTGATATTCTAAGATAGTGGCAATCAGAGATAATAAGTGACAGATAAAAAAGATGATGACTATACAAAATAACATAAGAGCCAGATGTATTTCTTTACGTAAATTTCGGTTCATACGTTGGCGATTTCTGTTAGCTTTCTTTACCACCATCCAGATATTGGTGTTAAGCACAATTAGCATTCCAAACGGTAAAAGATAAGTGAATAAGATATTCAACCCGACGTAATAAACTTTGTAGTAGGTTTCGTTGGTGCGAAACTGAGTTGGGCAGGCCAAACAAGTGTCGTTACTAGTGTCGTTGAAAGACTTAACTTCCACCTCGAAAAATCTTGGCACATTATAACCTATACTGAATAGCAGAATAATAAAATTGCAAAATCTTGCTCGGCTGCAAGTACAAATTGATCGAGCTTTAAGAGGATGACACACGGCTACGTATCGTTCGACTGTCACAATAACCGTGGTCCAAATTGAACCTGTCTTTGCAATGTGCGCTAGTGGATACAAAACGGGTACCATCTTCAAGTATATATAACCGTAATGATGTTGAAAACTTTTTATTTTCAGCCCCAATCCGGGAAATCCAAAAATGAAAAGAGAAGTCGCAATTAAGAAAGTATCAAAAACTGCTAATCCTTGAAGTCCACAATTAATTGAAGAACGCAATTCCGGTCGAGATAAAACAAATAACGACATGATATTTCCTATACACCCTAAAATAACTACGACTATAATCGCTACTCCCAGTGCGAACTCCATCGACTCATCTTCCATTGTGGCGAATGAACTCCGGCAGTTATCCACACCTTTATAAGTTAACTTTATTGATTAATGACGTCACAGGTGGCGTGTCAATCGTCGTGATTGACAAATCTCGACGTTAATCTTGGAATGTTTATTATTATTGCATGTCCACGTGAATAAAAATACAAAGAATATTATTTATCGAGACATTAAGCTTGATTGGTTGCTTATAAAATACTATCTTACGTTAATCGTAACTAAATAAAACAATTTACTAGGTTAACTGTCAAATTAATCAAAAGTTATTTAGCATTAAATTTTAAATTATTTATATAATATATATAATAACATATATTTAAAAATAGAAATAATATATTATAAATATTAAAATACGTCACTTTATGTAATGTAGTGTTTAAAAGAATAGTTTTAATTTAATATGGAATTATATAAAGTGAATTCAATTTGCCGAATTTAATTAACTTATAATTATTCTAACGATTTTCATTTTTATTTTCAATTCTTTAATAAATTATAAATTTGATAATTAGCTAAATAGATTTTCTTAAATATTTTGAAATTAATCTTTCGTACTTTATAAATTCTATTAAATTTGTATATCGAATTTAGGAAGTACCAATTATAAGACATTAACGAAACCTTTTATAAAGGATGGGACATCGATTATTTAACTACTACAAAGTTTGAATTCGATGTCAAGTAAACTACAGCGTATAATTTATAAACTAGACAGATCGAACAGAACTTCTGAAATTTTGTTAATTTTCAAGTTTGAACTAACTATTGGAAATTGTAGACGTTTTACCATTTAAGCGTGTAATCTGTATTGTATGATAATCTAAGTTCTTCTGAAAGCAAAATTTATTTTAAAAAGTAATAATAAATTAAATTTAAATATTTCAACTGAATAAAATTTAATGATGAGATTTGTGAAGTGTCTGAATAAATACAATAAATAATTTATGTTTGAATTATTAAATATTTCAACTTTCATTCTTATACACAAAGCCTACAGTAACACAAATCTTATCCAAACGTAATTTATTTCTCAATCTTGAACTTTTTTCCAACTACCCAGCTACAAAATACGTTCCGAAAATGTCGTTTTACTCATAAAATCTATTGGGATTTATAAACGCCTAATTAAAATGAATTTAACTCGTTAAAAACATAGATAAAGCTAATTAAGTATGATTAACAATGCAATTGCGAGATTGGTTACACTAATACATTTATTAGGAGCTAAATATTATGTTTATAATATATAGTTGTATTATATATCTTAACAGTAAGATGTATAATGGCAATAGTATATTTTAGATCGCGCTTTTTAAGTAAAAATTCCGATATTATAATGTTTATTTTTAAAATTAAATATTTATTGTGTAAAAGATGTAGTTCTGTTTATAGAGAAAGTAAAAAATCCAATCGAAGACTTACCATCACGAAACTTGACCCTTAGATTAACAAGTCTCTGGTCTCTGTTAATAAGTCTATTCGGAGTCTTCGTCGATAATTTACAAAAATGTCTCAAAAAAACCCTACGAAACTTTTTCCCAAAAATACAATACACGATAAAGTTAACGGAAGAATTAAGAGTCACCATAAAATCAGATATTTTTACCAGAAGCGGCAGGAAGATAGTTTGATATTCTAAGATAGTGGCAATCAGAGATAATAAGTGACAGATAAAAAAGATGATGACTATACAAAATAACATAAGAGCCAGATGTATTTCTTTACGTAAATTTCGGTTCATACGTTGGCGATTTCTGTTAGCTTTCTTTACCACCATCCAGATATTGGTGTTAAGCACAATTAGCATTCCAAACGGTAAAAGATAAGTGAATAAGATATTCAACCC